CGGTGTGACAGGCGAACCCTTTATCCACTAGGCTACCTACCACATCGCCCTTATCCCATAACAATTATCGAATCTTAACATACTGTTCGTTTACGGTGATAGTTTATCAGATATGATCATTATCATTTTGATTTCAGTGTGGCTTTCTCCATCAACACGTGCCCCTCCTTCGCCCGGCGTCTGTGGAGCTTTAGCCGCTATGGAGGACGCTGCTGGATAATTCAGAACGTGCAGGAGAACGTCACCTTCTCCCAGTGCCTGTGAGTGTCCGCCTTAACATATGCCATTGTCATCATGCTCTCGGGTCCTCTCGGTTCAACTCGGGCCAATTCGGCTTATTTCGCCATCTGCGACTCCACAGTGTTATGAACACAGTACTGCCAGATCCTGTCGCGTGATATATATTTTCGAACGTTTAGTGTAAACTTAATGAAATATAGAAATTTTGACCAAAAGGAAAACAAAAGAATAAAATATGTAATGCCACGACTGCCGTAAACTTGAACTCAAATAATATGGATAGTTCGATTATTATTATTATTATTATTTCTGCACCAAATCTTTATCTTACAACTGAGGCGGTCGGGTAGCCTAGTGGTTAAAGCGTTCGCTCGTCATGCCGAAGACCCGGGTTCGATTCCCGACATGGGTACAATGCGTGAATCCCCCGCCCTAATATTGCTGGAATATTGCTAAACGCGGCGTTAAACCATACTCACTCACTATTCTTACAACTGCTGCGTTGCGGTGGCCTAGTGGTTAAAGCCTTGGGTCTTCAGGCCAAACATGGGTTCGGTTCCCCTCAGGGTTTTATGCGTTTAGCCCGTTGGTGTCCTCGTCTTGATTCTTCTGGGCTATTGCCAAAACGTCGTAAAACCGGATTCACTCACTCACTGGAACTGCTATTTTCTTCACAGAACCGAGAAGTGCCACAACTGTGAGGAGGAACAGTTCGACGGTAACAGGCAGAACGCCTGCATCAAGAATTTCAACTTCATGTCCGTGTGGGCGTTCTGCGAGAACCTGCCCGCCCTGAACCAGATCAGCAGGGAACGGATCATCGTCCCGACCCACTGTGCCTCTCGGAACGTCCCCTGCCACGGCTACAAGAAATAACCACGATCCGATGGATTCTCGGAACCAAATGACTGGAATGACAACTTCATATGATATCAATATCATAAACATCACGAACGCCATCATGATACAGAACTTTCCCTGATCACTGTGTTCAATTGTTTGAAATAGATTCCAGTCATCACAAGCTGTTGCCTGTATCAGTAGTCAGCTTCAGGTAGATCTCCCGAGAGTGATAGCTAATTAATAGGGTAAATTACTTTTTACTATTATATAATATCAGTAGAATTACCCTTTAAATGATCGACTTATTGAAAGAGATAAGTGCAAAAATTACAAATTGATACACATATTTCGTTGATAACCTAACGTTGTTAATAACATAGACATGTGTAAATACCACATTGTTGCAAAATATATCCAACACTGAACGGATCAAGTGTGCCCCATCTGAAACCAAGGCCATTATTAAAACCATCGATCTGTATCAACATCTACATCTATTCCCTTGTTAAAACTTTGGAAGGTTAGCCATGAAAGTAATCAATGTAATTCTGATTCATGTATTTGTGTCTGTAACTACATGCTGTGTGTCGAAAAATAGACCCTTGCTGTTTGTGACTGGAAGATGTAGATTGCGACAGCTACAGTTTGTTCCCGTCATACTTTGGATTCTATTATCAATAAATGACAAGGTATCACCCAGATGTCTTATATCGAATCTCTTTGTTTTTGTTGTCACTTTTACAAGTTTGTTATACGATAATCACTCATATTGATTATTCTTCTGCACATCAACAATTAGAGACCATCCGTTGATGAGATGTGGACAGTAAAGATGAATGAATGAATGAATGAATGAATGAATTATCCTTATTTCATCTATTAATTTCGGAGAGTGATATACATTTGTAATCATGTTAATACAACATATTGACAAGAACATTATGCAGAGAAATACTGTATATTTACATGGTGTGATCCTGATATGAGATATACTGTCTCTACAGAGATCATTGATCGCAGGTTCCAGGAGCGTATGTCTCGTGATACAGAAGATATGAATTCAGCCCAGCTGTCAAGGCTCATATCCTCTACAATAGGGGTTATACCGTCTAGTTAGAGGCCATGTCACATGCTTTACTTCGTCATCAGCACAGTCATCAATACACATGTATTGTTCGAGGTTTAAAGTGTCAATGTGATGTCAGTCTAGTCTTTCTGGGTGTCCTTGTCTTTATGACACGGGATGTATAATAAGATATGGTAGGCCTGACTTTCTAAGTGGACATGTAGATTTGATATGGTAGGCCTGACTTTCTAAGTGGACATGCACATTTGATATGGTAGGCCTGACGTTCTAAGTGGACATGCAGATTTGATATGGTAGGCCTGACTTTCTAAGTGGACATGTAGATTTGAT